CTAGAAGGTAGATTCTCTAAGACTCAAAGGCCTCTTATTAGTACACTTTTTAATGGTCTCATTGCCTCTCAGTAGCATCACAAAGGGAACTAAGTCTTTAGGTTCTTAGGGTACATGATTCTTTAGGGGTCATTCAAGATTCAACTATAGCAATATGAATATTTAAACACAGAGAAACAGTAGAGGACGTAAATGAAACCAAAAGTCACTAATATTAAAATGTGAAAATTAATATGGGACATAGTCACAACATTAATGTTAAAAATAGATAAAATAAATTTTATATATCATGATTAAAAACATACAAACAAGTATGTCTACTGAAAAATACTGGATAGGACATATAAAAATGAAAATAGCAACGACAGAATGATAGGATGGTTGAAATATTTGCATTGTATTTTAAATGATCTTAATGTCTTTACAATATTGTGTGTTTTGGGGGGCCAGCGGGGTTTGAGACAGGGTCTCACTATGTAGTTGAGACTGACCTGGAACTCACTATGTAGCCCAGGCTGGTCTCGAACTCACAGCAATCCTCCTGCCTCAGCCTCCTGAGTGCTGGGATTACAGGCGTGCGCCACCACACCCGGCTAATATTGTGTTTTAAAAGTTTACTTTTCTAGGAGCTGGAATGTAGCCCAGTAGCAGGGCACATGCTTGACATGTAGGAGGCCCTGAGTTCAATACTTAGCACTGAAAAACAAAACAAAGTTCTTTCTATTGAGCCAAAATCAACCTCTTCCAGAACTGTAACTTTTACCTACTGTCTCTTAGAATTATATGAAATAAATCAATTTGATACATTTGAAAGTAATAATCACAGTTTCAGTACACTTGTGCTCTGGCTTTCTAGAACACAGACTGCAGAGGCATCGATGACATCAGGGAAACCCAGGTAGGAGACATAGCTCTTATTCACCAGAAGAATGGTCAAGACAGCCCTAATCAACACAGTATCAATATGGCCAGAATTGAGAAATAGCTCAAAGCCAGAACTGACAGAAACGGTAGCCAAAAGGATGTGGGAAGTAAGGAGAAAATAGGAATTGAACACGCTCCTGGTCAGGTTGTTCGGGAAAGCTGTGATACTGTACCAAGATAAAGAATGTGAAAAGAAAATAGAATATTTGATCATTAGATGAAATTCTATTTGAAGATGAGTTTGAGGTATCAACAGAATATACACATTTATATATTGATGCAAATATCAATATGAAGTCGGTGAAGACAAAACTATTTCAGAGAAACAGAAAGCAAAAATTAAAGAAAATATAAATGAAATAGAAAATAAAAACAATTAGAAGTACTCAGAATCATCAAACAATGACTTTTTGAAGACTAGTAAAACTATTGTTTTAAAATATAATTTAAAAAACCAAATGGAACACAAATAAGTACCCCAGATATAAAAAGAGGAAGACAATTAAAGGGACAGAGAAGATTTTTTTAAAAATTATGAGACCTTATGAATAACTTCACACCAAATATATGAATAGCTAACGGTGCGGGAAAGGCCAGGTATTCGTATTTTTTGGTGTGAAGTTATGCATGGAAGTTTTTTTGAGTTTTGTTTTGTTTGGTTTCCCAGTACTGAGGATTGAACCCAGGGCCTCGTTATGCTAAGTATGCACTATACCACTGAGCTACGCCCCTAGCCTAGAAGCTTTCCTTATAACTAAAAACAAACGAAAAAACTCATCCATTTCTGCAGTTATTTTTCCCCTTTTAGAGGAAAACAGAGAAAATGTGGCTCTGTAAAGTCTGGAGTAAAAAAATTTTAAAGCAGTAACCCAAAATGCTGAATATAGTTGAAAAGATTGATAAATTAAACTGTATTAAAAACTATTGTTCATAAAACACTTCATTAGTGGAGTAAAAAGTAATTTATAAGGTTGAAGAAGATATATACTATACATGTACAAATGAAAATAAACCCTTAAGAATTTAAATGTGAGCCAGGCGTGGTGGCACATGACTGTAATCCCAGCACTTGGGAGGCTGAGGCAGGTGGATCGCTGTGAGTTCAAAACCAGCCTGGGCTACGTAGTGAGTTCCAGATCAGTCTCAACTACATAGTGAGACCCTGTCTCAAAAAAAAACAAAACAAAACAAACAAAGAATCTAAATGTGAAAAGAAAAGCTTTAAAACTTTTAGAATAAAATGAGATTATTAATGATTCTCAATAGAAAAGGATTTCTTAAATATAACCAAAAACATATTAAAAGGAAAATATTAGTCTACATTAAAATTAAGAACTTCTCTTTATCAAAAGACCTCTTAAAGAAAATGAAAAAGATAAGCTACAAACTAGAAAAAATATCACAACATAAATAAATGAAAACGAATGATTATTTATAATATTTTTTAAAAATCTCTGAGGAAAAACATGAATAAGCCAATAGAAGAAGGCATGAAAAACTTGAACAGCTGCTTTATATATAAGAAAAACAGAATGGCCAATGAAAATATTCTCAAACTTCCTAGTAATCAAGGAAATTCAAACTAAAGTTGTGCAGTATTAGCATTTCATATCCAGCAGATTTGCAAAAAACAAACTTTGACAATCAATAGTAAGTGTTGGTAAGGATGTAGGACACTGTCCTCCATTGTCGGTGCACTACAAATAGGTATGATTACTGGGGAAAACAGTTCTGTGTTACCTAATAAAGTTGAAAATGTATATACCTAGAACTGTTTGATATATTCCCTACAGACACTCTTCCACATGTAAACCATTAATTGTTATAAATGTTTCTTTCAAAAAGAGAGACTGGGCCGGGGATTTAGCTCAGCGGTTCGGTGGCCTGCCTTGCAAGCGCATGGACCCAAGTTCGATCCCCAGTGCCCCCCCCCAAAAAAAAGAGAGAGAGACTTCTATCAAGAGTAGAATTGGGTGTGGTGGCATATGCCTGAAGTTTCAGCAATCAGGAGGCTGAAGGAGGATCACAAGTTCAAGGCCAATCGGGCATCTTAGTGAGAATCTATCTCAAAACTAAAAGGGCTGGGGCTTTGGCTCAGTGGTACGGCGCTCCTGGATTCTATCTCCAGTAGTGGGGAAAAAAAATACAACCATGGAAATGAAAAAACAACAACACAATGGATGGATCTCAGTTGTAAATGATCAAGCAAAAGACTCCATGATAAAAAGAACAACAAAAGAAGAATTATCATAAAACTCAGGAGGTGGGGCCAGGGATTTAGCTCAGTGGTTCTGCCGCCTGCCTTGCAAGCATGAGGACCCGAGTTCAATCCCTGGTACCAAAAAAAACAAAAAAACAAAAAAAAAACCTCAGGAGGTGGTTACCTTTAGAATAAGGTGGTACAATGAGGAAGAGGTATATATATATGGTGGCTTCTAGGTAGAGGCAATGTTCTACTGTTAGCCTCACTGAAGTGTATATGACTATTTTCATCATTTTTATATTGCACATTATTTATACTTGATACATAATACATTTTAAAATAAAACAATTTTTAGGGCAATAGCTAATGATCCTCTATGGGTATAGATGTGTGTGAATGAATGTTATGTTCTTCGAAGGAATAACAATAGGAATTCTTTGTGGGAAAATGTTAATAGCACTTCAATAGATTTACTAAATTCTCCAATATGATTGGCTGGCTAGGAGAGGAACTTGAATCAACTATAAATTTGCCATAAAATTTAGATCTTTATCATACAGTTTTTTGAGAAATGTCATCCCATGCCTTATTTAATCTATCAATTGAACTTTTTCTTCTCAGGCTGTCTTGCTTATGTTTCTTTTGGTAAAAGAGAAATTCTTAATTTTTTTTAAGGATAACAATCCAATTAATACACGGTTATTCTTTTAACTTATTTTTAAACCTTTATATCTTACCTAGATCTTCCTTGAATGGAAGCAAAAGAAGAAAATTGTACCAAAATCTAAAGCCATTTTATAGCTGACATTATGAAATACTAAAAATGAAAAAAAATGGTTTGATTGGCTATACCATTTATATAAATTGAATCAAAACTAAGACCTCTTCTCAATGTATTAAACATAACACAGAGTTAAAGATCTAGGAGAGGGCTGGGGATTTAGCTCAGTGGCTCCACGCCTGCCTGGCCAAGTGCAAGGTCCTGAGTTCAATCCCCAGTATCATCCCCCCACCCACAAAAAAGATCTAGGAGAAACCTCCAGAAATTATCTAGTACAGCCACCTTCTAGTAGGACTCAATCTCAGGCAAATAAGTTATCATCGTAATCTTAACATACCTCCTGAAAAAGATTATAGCACCTTTTCCCACTAAACCATCTGAATTTTTTTTTTTTGTCTCAGAACCCTTTTAATACAACGCTATCATACAGTAAACATTATTGTGCAGAAAAAGCCAGTTAATGGTGGGATTTTTCTAGGCACAAGAGTAACCAACTAACTCTAAGACTGTACAAACAGCAAAATAAAGAACTCAGAGTGCTGCCTGCTCAGCCCCAGCGGCTGCAACCTCACCGACCCACGAGCTTCCCCAGTGATCTGGTCTCAAAGCTGGACACGCAGGAGAGCCGATGATCACTTTGTTTCCATCCTGACTTGGGTTGATCTGCAGACTTTTTCCTTCCCAACCTCTTTCCACCCAATTACTCCAAAAATCAAGAGCTGAGTTGTATATTTCTATTGAGTATGAATAGATGCCGAAATATTGCACAGTCCTAAAAATATGTCACTTATAAGTGAAAAGAAGAAACCCTTAAATTTTCCAATTTATGGATAACTCTAATAAAATAAATAAATTGGGGAATCTTTTTCCCCTCTAGTCATGGACAGTTTCATCTAACAACATATATTTCTTCCACGAAGATTGTACTTTTTAGACTAAAATTTCCTTGATGTTAAGGACTTGCTCTGTTTCTGTTTTTATACCTGGTACGCTCCATTAGACTTTGTTACTGTAACATGACCTGTATATGTACTGAAAAATATCTATTACATTTAACTAAAGCAATGGAGGGTCACGAAAACTTGGCCTTACTTGATTGTTGCATTCCTCCTTTTTCTCATCACAGTCTAGGCCCTGATGAGCAATCTCAGTAGAGCTGTTCTCCAAAAAGAGGTTATTCTCCAAATCAGACACTCTGGAGGGCTCAGTTGTGACTTTCACTTTCATTCTATGAAAGCCAGTGGAGACCAATCCCACTTGCATGTTGACAGGCTCCCCTTCAAACCTCAGGAAGCGTGAGTTCTTTTCTTCTTCTTTAAAACCAGGGGGTTGGTAGTCATGTGGGGTCACTGCAAAACAAAAAGCGCAAAAAGCCATAAAATTATTTTCAACAGAATAGATACAATTCATATTTCGTATGTAGCAACAAACTTTGTTGTTGTTGTTGTTAAGTCAGGGTCTCCTTATATAGTTCACTCCAGCCTTGAACTCACTATGCAGCCTAGGCTGGCCTTGAACGCAGTGATCCTCCTGCCTCAGCCTTCTGAGTGCTGGGGTTACAGGCTTGCACCACCATGGCTGGCCCAGCAACAGTATCTTTTAGGTGCTTGCAAAATCCTATTTATATAAAATATTAGTTGAGCACTTAAAGAAGGAACTTACCTTCCTTATAGTAATGGAGTTTCATAGTAAGTATAACTTCATTAGGAAGAGGTCCAAGGTTCTGCGTCAGTATGTACAATTTACGAATCAGTAAAATACTGGCTTTCTTAATATCGTCACTATATGTTCCACTTTCAAAGCTTGTACTAGTACTATAATCATAGAAAAACAGCGTCCTTTATAATCATATACAATATTGACAATTTATTTTGAAAAGAAAAACTTTTAACTATATGACTATGAACTATATATTTATATTTCTATTTATAAATTAAATACCAGGACATTTTCAGACAATTTTCAGAATGTAAATTAAGGAAGTGATTGTACTTTTAGATTGCATACACAAAGGGTTTGTAAATAGCAAGTTCTCCTTATGTATTTAAAAATGACCTTTTAAAAATAATTGGTTTACAAATAACTACATGCCATAATAATGAGAACAATGGATTTGCAATTATGTGACCTGGCATGTAATATCGGCTCTGCAGCTAACTACCTGAATGACCTGGTCAAGTCATTTAGACACACTCTAATTTGGTCAGCTCATTTGTGGGATAAACTTCCGGACATTCCTTTAGTACTCCAAACATAAAACGACATCCTAGTTCTGTGCCTCTCTACCACCTAGTTATCTCTCAAAAGCTCCACTCACTCCTCTATGGACACCTGCTTTTCTTCTTGTTCATGTGGCAAAACATTCTCCGCACCGCTACCAAAATAATATTCTTTTTTGGGGGGGTGCCAGGGATCAAACTCAGGACCTTGCGCTTGTGAGGCAGGCGGCGGAACCACTGAGCTCAATCCCCGGCCCCCACAATAATACTCCGTGTAGGATTATCTGTTCATCTCACCTTTTTTGCTTAATTCCTCTACTACATTCATCATCTCTGAAATACAGAGATGGAATGAGTACAATACTTTTCACGTCCAGCTAACCCTTACTTCCTTCCACCTTCACCTGCTGCGAACACTGGGTTTCCTCTAACCTGAAAATGAAGTGTGCATTTATATACGTTGCTCACTTCATTTGTATTTTGCCTCTGCAGTTCTTTTCTAGGCTCTCCTGCTTTGTCCTCTGATACCTAACTCATGTGCTGCTTCTCAAGGAAGCATCGCTATTATTCCAGACCAGGTTTGCCCTCAGGAGGGCTGTTTGT